ATACTGTTGCTATTGATTTAGTAAGTTTTATAACTTACAAAAATATATTTAGAGGTGTTAATCTGAAGTTCAATTTTTTATTGTGTAATTACTGTATGTTCTCAGGCTACTTTTTACTTTTACTTTAGTTGAAATACCATGAAGTAATGCTACACTTACTCAAGTACAATTTTTGGTACTCTACCCACCTCTGGTCAGTAATAACTTACAAAGGAGATGAATTTTCTAGATAAATACAACTATGAGATAGAGGAAAGAGAGTACACTCAGCCACACTGACTGCCCTTGTGTGATTCATAAATGGAGGCAGGGTTGAACAAATAAATGGACAAAATAACATGAGTGTTGCCTTGGTTAGAGAACTTTTCAAGGCTAAAATAACAGTCTGCTCTGCCACCAATGCTTGCTATATAAAATCTTCCTCAACACAAATCCATTTGGTGCCTTGTATTCTGATGTTTTAGAACTACTGACCAAAAAAGTAGAAAAAGGGACCACAAGCTTCTGTTTAAGGCTCTCTTAACAGAATATGAACACAGGTAAGGCTTCTACATTGTTTGTTTTGTTTTTTTTTAATATGTCGAGTCTCTTTAGCATCAGCCGCTGCTAAATATAAAAGAAGTAAAGAAAGCTGTAAATTAGAATCCGTTTACTCTACTGTGGGGGAAAAAAAGGATGTGGCAGTGGGGTAAGTTTTAAATAGCAGATGTGAGTAAAGTTAACATCTTCTCTAAACCTTACAGATATTTTTTTGTACTTCTTCTGACTGTTTCAGAAAAATAGAAAGGAACAAATATTATCCTAAAGTTACTTTATGGTCATGAGAGGTGTTGCAATGACACATTCGTCTTTCACACCAAAAAGGAGACACAAGTGGCTGGTGCATTGAATAAGAAGAACCTAGCCTTCACTGTCAGGAACAGAAATTAGAAAAGTTTGTTGAGAGGTGAACATTAGGTTTGAATGTGATTTTTCAGGTTCACTCTGCACAACTTTCAGTATTTGTCAAAACACTGTCTATTAAAACATTTCCGAAGGTTTGCAGCTAGTGCTATCCAGATCTTGGAAACTCCATGAACAACTATTATTCTGTTTTTCCCATTAGTGTTTTTACATTTCGAAATAAAAAATTAAGAAAACATGTTCAAATTAAGTAACCCCTTTTGGTTCAATTAAGTAAATTTGAAGAAACAATAGCAAAAAAAAACAAAAAAAAAAAACAACAAAAACAATTTTGTGTTACAGCTTTCTTACAGCTTTCTGTCATCTTTATTGCCTCGGCAGATGGCCACTCACTCTGAGCGTAGTCCTGCTGCAGGTTTCTTCCTGTTAAAAGGGTTCAAAAGTTGTTCCTCTCTACTGTTGCTACAAGCATGCTTAGTGTGAGAGATTGTATTTGAGTCAATGAATCAATGCAATCAGCTGGTTTTCCTTAGATAGAAAACTTTGAATCAATTTGACTGTATGATCTGGTCAACTGTAAGATGCCTTTAGATGACATGTGTTGTGA